AGACCACAATAAGATAAACCAGCTTAGGTTGGTCATAATTGACTGACTCAAACTAAGAAAAGCTATATACAGCTTTGATCTCACGAGTATCTAAACTTGGAATCTTATAGCTGCACACCAACTGTCCGACCAACTTAACTTATCACTCCACTATATACCCTTTTTTGAGCCGAGTAACCATCCTTTTTTAGGTAGCCCTTTCCGTCATGCATTAGCCTCTCAATAGCCGCCAAACAACTTATATGTGTAATTGTAACGATTACCATCAATCTTGTGTGATTTGCAGTCTATTATATTATTACACAAAAGAAGTAGGGTTTACCCAAAAACAATGTGGGCTTGGGGAGCACATGTGATTGGAAGCAGACATGGAGAAGAAAACATGAAGAAGAAGATGAAATGAGCTGATCGAGTTCATTGACTACACGCATACATTCAATTCCGTGGTGTGGATTCTTTCCCTCATCTTTTGTTTGATAGGAAAAAGCATTATTTTAGTAGGGGATGGAGTTGAAGCTAGCAGAATGTGAAGTACGTAAATGCATTATATTATATATATATATATTGGTCCCCTCTGTGGCGAATATGAATTAAGAACAAAAAAGGGGGTGGTCGTGGGGCGAGCAGCAGAGGGAGAATAGACCCTTCTTCATTTCGCCGCTACCTTTAATTCGTCTTATCCCATCCGTAACGTACGTCGGAGGGGACCAACGCCACCGATCATATCCTCTAGGCACCATATATATCGCCCACGACAACATATATATATTGTTCATTAAACATCCTTCATTATTCATCATCTGGTACGTGCATATATGCATGTTTTAATAATTTCTTCTTGCCGGTATTGCTGTACTATACGTGCTGCGTGGCTAGCTGGGGATTTTATTTGCGGTGGCCATGCATGTCTTTCACTTTAATTTGCATGTGCGATATATAATCTTCTGATCTATGGCCAATCCAACGGCAGGTAGGTGCAGAGAGTCAGAGGAAGCATAAAGAGCTAGCTTTGGTATCATATCAGAAAGTGGTGTATGTATAGGTAGGCCAAAAGGCATGAGGCGCATTCGCTGCTTAATTAGGGCTAGTTAACACACTAACAAAAGCTCAAGAAGTAGCAACCCGGGCCCACAACTTATTCGTCACATGATTTGATGTCGTGACGGAAGATCTCAGTGTTGAAGTTCGAATTGCACTTGAAATATATATATATGAATCTCTTGTGTGGGCATGAAAATTAAAGTTTGAATTGATTGGTAGACTGATTGCACGACTTGCAATTTATTTCTACAGTGACTCTAGCAGCATGGCCTGGTCTTATATAAGTTTAGGCTTAATCGGGAGAAATCAGGATTACTTAAGTATTTAAGAAAAATAAAAAAGTTCAAAGAAGTATTTGCTAGCTAGTTATTATATAGGAGCAGGGTTTGTGCTGTGATTTGTATGTCTATAACTATATAACGCTACCTCACATCTCTTTGATTACCTTCACATAAGAAAAATGCTTCTCTTCCCTAAAATTACCATTCCCATACGCATTCTTGATAAAATTATTTGTTTTCATAAATTACTCGTAAATAGACTAACTCATCTTGAGTTAATAAAAAACTTACCTAACAAATAAAAATTAACATGTTATGAGTGACTAATATATCTTAATTTTAGTTTAATCTTCAATATATCTTTGTCACATGAAAAACAACAATTGAATTAAAAGATGAAAAAATAATTTGATAAACTTTAAACATTCTCAATTAAAAGAGTTGGACCACCTCTAACTTTCCAACTTTAATTTCAAGCAATCTGATATGCCCATATTGCTACAGCATTGTTATTTATTTATTACCATTAAAGAAGATAATTTTGCAAGAAGTATATTTTTTGTGGAACTCGCAGGAAAGAAAAAAATCAATAAAGAAAAATGTTGTTCGCGCACCAGCTATAATAGATTAATAGAGAAGTTAAAAGAAAAAAGTTTTCTTTTATTTTTTAAAATATTTTTTTCTTCATTTTTCTCCTCCTCGCTCTCTAGCAGATGGAAAAAGAAAAAAAAAAAAAAAACTGACAAAAATTAACATTATTGAGGATGCTCTAAGAGCATCCACACCAAAGCATAATAGGGAGATAATAGTACACTAATATGCACATCAACAGATGGGAAGCAAAGATAATATCAAAAATAATCCACCTACAAATGCCAAGATAATGGCAGAAAAAAGAAAAAAAAAAAAAAAAAAAAAAGGATCAGCGCGCATAAGCGCGTTTCGCGCAGAATGGAGAAAAAGCAAGGCGCGTGCGTTGCACGCGCCCGGAGACGCGTCAGGCGCGCCAGTCGGCGTGCTTGACGCGTCTGTTTACATTCATTTTTTATTTTAAAAAAGAAAAATGACACTTTTCCCCCCTGAGTTATATACTTATAGCACTTTTCCCCCCTGAATTATTTAAGTGGCTCTTTTCCTCCCTAAAATGTTAAATAGACATATTTACCCTTAAAATAAATATTTAAAATAAATATTTCATTTATTTTTCTTCTCCAACAAATTATTACTATAATTTAGTTCAAACCAAACAGATACTATAGCAACCAAACCAAAATATTCCAATTACAATTTAGAATCAATACGCGATATTTAGAGTTTATTAAAATCGCAAATCGAAATGGCCGGTTCATGTTCCGAACTGAAAAAATAAAATAATTTATTGTTGAATTTAGACTATTTTAAAATAAAAAATAAAAAAACAAATGGTTCAAAATCGCAAACCGGATCCGGAACCGCCGGTTCACGGTTCATGATCCAGTTTTTTTGGTTCATAAATTTAATAAATTGAAATCTAAATATTGGATTCTAGATCTAAATCATAACCGAAAACTTTTAATTCGATTGCTATAGTGTCCGGTTCAGTTCGAACCGAACCGTGATCATTGCTACATATACACAATAATTTGTTGGAGAAGTAAAATAAATAAAATGTTTACTTTAAGGGTAGAAATGTCAATTTAATATATCAGGGGGAAAAATCACCACTTTTAAAAAATTGAGGGGGCTAATGTGCTTACATAAATAATTGAGGGAAAAAAAGTGCTATAAGTATATAACTTAGGGGGAAAAAGTGCCATTTTCCCTTTTAAAAATTTCAATTTTGGTTTTTTTTTTTTTTCTTTTTCTCTCTCTCCTCCCACATTCTGTTTCCTAATCACTTTTACATTATCTCTCAATTCTTCCCAACTGACGTGGATGCTCTAAAGGAGGTTACCTCTACTTTAAATAGTGAGCAACGGGTGGTTTAAGGTAATTATCCATGTATGTATAAATATCCAGACATGCAAGTGATCGACTAAGTAATAAATAATATATTGAATTTGTTTGGAGACTTTCTGTTCTCTTTTATGAAATTGGGCTGCTGTCAAAAGACACCTCTATCTTTTCTCTCCCACTTTCTAGAGTTTAGTTATTGATCAATAAAAAATAAAAAATAAAAAAGCATTCCATTTGTATAACATCAATCACATCCTGATTGATCTAAATTAAACTTTTTCCAAAAAAAAAAAAAAACCAATAATAGCTTTTTGTCACTTTAATTTTTTTTTTTTAAATCACACCTTTTTTAATAAGTGAATGTGTTAACTTTGTTATACCATGGACCAAGGTCCACCTTACAAGGTGGATCCGTATTCAATATACACAATTTACATACTAAATGTTCAAAATTTATATACACAATTCACATATTTAATGTTCGCATCACAAAATTGTGAATATTCAGTATATAAATAGTATATTTTGAACCCGAATTCATCTTGCAAGGTAGATCCGAGTCCATAGAATAATTTTCTCTGAAATGGTGAATCGTACATGAACTAACATCCTTTTCGAGGATGAGTGTAAATAAATATAGATTTATATATGATGTCTCGAGCTCCGTTAGATTCATTGGCACATTACAAACATTTGGTGGTTAATTATGGGAATTGTGAAAGGGGATGGAGAAGCAGATTAGGCTTCTAAATTTATTCCGCTTTGGGAGTGTATCTGATACTGCCACTCAACCCTCACATGTATAATACAAACAAAACTTTTATGTTTTCAGCAGCGCAGCTCAGCTACATGACTTCACCCATTAAACAATAATTAGCATTATATTACCCCTTAGTCATCACGACAGAATCACCGCCACTCACCATACCAAATTTATGATCTGGAGTTAATACCTCTAATGTCCTCCGAGTATTAGGGTATTATCAGGTGTGGTCCTCCGAGTTTAAAACGACCACGAGACGTCTTCCGAGTTCAAAAAATAATCACCTGTAGTTCTCCGTTAGGTTTGGTGTCAAATGGACGTTAAGTGTGAGGGCAAACATGTCATTTCTACTACGAGAAAGAGTTAATACCTCCAATGGTCCTCCGAGTATTAAGGTATAACCAGGTGTGGTCCCCCGACTTTAAAACGACCACTAGACGTCTTACTAGTTTAAAAAACTTACCACTTGTGGTCCTCTGGTAGGTTTGCTGTCAAAGGGGTGTCAAGTCTGAGAGCAAAGCTGTCCTTTCACCTATATTTCTTCCTCACAAGTTTTGCGGATCCCTCCACCCACAGAATGCCACCTCAAGAGGCCACTCTGTTTCGGCGAGAATGGCAACGAAGGAAGCTTTGGCCTTTGGCCGTCAATGGCGAAAGCCGTGGGTTTCAAAAAACGGACAGCTTTGAATATTGGCGAACCACCTGTGGATTATATCATTAACTCTTCTCTCTCTGTCTGCATGAACAGTTGAGTAAATTTTAGGTGATAGATTGTGAACAATTACATGGAATCAAATATTGTGTGTAAATTTTACCTAATTTGGTATGCTCATTGTGGTACTAGGCAAAATATGAAGCTAAGAAACTAATAATAATCTAAATGATTTATGACATATTTTGCTTCCATAATGGACCCCACCCCCCCCCCCCCCCCCTCTCTCTCTATTTATCCTCCTTGTATCCCCTTCCCACATGCAACAACCTGTTGAGTCACACTCTTAAAAGAAAGACAGAAGCATAGTAAAATCAAGAAACAGAGAGAGAAAGTTGGGGATGGGAAATCATAGGTTTAGATTATCAGACATGATACCAAATGCTTGGTTTCACAAGCTGAAGGGCATGGGCAAGGCCAAAAAAAGTGGAAAGAATCACAACAACAACAACAATTGTATCAAAAAACATGAAAACCATCCCCCCACATTATCATCATCATCATTATCCTCATCATCCTATTCATCATCAACCAAAACCACAACAACCCACAGAAAATCCTACTACTTCTCCAGGCCGCCACCCCACATTTCGCCGGAAACTTCAAGAAAATCCTCCAAGAAACGCCCCAAGAGGAGGACCAGCAGTAGAACAACCGCCGTCTCCGCCGCTTGCAGCTGCCGCCCGTCCATGGAATCCGTCTGGACTAAGCCCGATTCCACCCCTGAAGACTATCCGGATTCCCCCCTCGACAGCAGCACCTCCTCCTCCTCCGACCAAGATTCCCTCGCCCCCGCCGCGCCCCCTCCGCCGCCACGCCTGAAACCTTCGACGCAATGCTCTCCCTCTCCCCCGATGATGAACTTCACGACTTCGACACCGTTTCAAAAATCGACCTCCCTCCCATCATCACAAAGCCCGCCAACAATTTAAGGACGAAAACCCAATCAAATCAATCATGCAAGACAGCCAAAACCTCCGACAAAGAGCAGAGGGCGTGCCCTGTTCGCAGATTCTCCGGGAACTCGCCGGGCGTGAAACTGAGAACAAATTCTCCGAGAATCGGTGGCAACCACCGGAGAATCCTGCAGGGCAGAAGAAGCACGAGCATTGCGGCGAAAAGCTTCGCCGTTGTGAAGTCATCTAAGGATCCACAGAGGGATTTCAGGGAATCAATGGTGGAGATGATAGTGGAGAACAACATCAGAGCATCGAAAGACTTGGAAAATCTTCTTGCTTGCTATCTGTCTCTCAACTCTAATGAGTACCATGATTTGATCATCAAGGTGTTCAAACAAATCTGGTTTGATATCACCGATGTTAGGTTAAATTAAAGTAACTATTTTATTTTCTGTTAGTTGTAATAATATGTAAATTAGCTGCAGTTATCATCAGTAATTTTCTCCCACTCATAATTATTATAATAAAGTTTCATGCTTTTCTCCTAGTACTCTGTATTCAGCTGTAATAATGCAATTAATAAGTCAACAAGAAATCCAATATTTAAATTATTATAATCAAGAATTAAATTGGTAGGAATTATTCATTTCAGCTACCAATAGTCTCTTTTATTGTTTAATCCATAAGTTACAATACAACTCCTCAAACCACATATCTATTTATATTATATATATAATGAGAAAAGAGGCACGCTACATAAAAAGTTGATCAAGTTGTGGACTATAATTTTCGACTTTAAGTTCACGAATTTATTTCTTGTCAATTATCTTTTTAGTCAAATTTGTCAGAATCTTTTTAGGGCCGTTAACTTCTCTTGTGTGATTTTTGGCTTGACCTCCTTCAAAAAGTCTCTTGAATAAGAGCGGTATGACTATCGTGATTGGAGACCTGAAGAGAAAAGAGAAACTAATTAAGAAAAAATCTCAAAAATAAGTGAAATACAAATTTTTTCAGTATAATATAACACAAAACAATATATAAAAACATTATTGTAATATATTATAATAATAAATGAGAAGTGGTAATGGAAGTGTGTTCTTGTTTCATTAGGATATGGACACATGGCCAATTCTATGCATGCTTCAATGGAATAACTAACAATAAAAGAGGGTATTAAATCGTTATGTATGCAAATGCTTTTAGAAGAGCTGTCTTATTATACGGAGTAATAAGGGAAAATGGCACTTTTTCCCCCTGAGTTATATACTTATAGCACTTTTTCCTCTTGAATTATTCATGTAAGCACATTAGCCCCCTCAATTATTTTAAAAGTGGCGGTTTTCCCCCCTAATATATTTTATTGACATTTCTACCCTTAAAGTAAACATTTTATTTATTTTTCCTTTTCAATAAATTATTGCGTATACATAGGGATGACCACGGTTCGATTCGAATTGAACCAGACACTATAGCAATCGAATTAAAAGTTTCCGGTTATGATTCAGATCCAGAACCCAATATTTTAATTTCAATTCATTAAAATTATGAATCGAAAAAACTGGATCCTGAACGGTGAATCGGCGGTTCTAGATCCGGTTAGCGATTTTGAACCGTCTTTATTTTTAAAATTTTAATTTTTTATTTTAAAATAGTCTAAATTCAACAATAAATGTATTTTATTTTTTTCAGTTTGGACCATGAACCGACCGTCCCGGTTCACGATTTTAATAAAATCTAAATATCGGGTTTCGATTCTAAATTGTAATTAGAATATTTCGGTTTGATTTATATAGTGTCTGTTTGGTTTGAACCAACTTGTGGTCATAATTTGTTAGAGAAAAAAAAATAAATGAAATATTTATTTTAAGGGTAAATATGTCCATTTAACATTTCAGGGGAAAAAACAGTCACTTGAATAATTCAGGGGGGAAAAGTGCTATATGTATATAACTTAGGGGGAAAAAGTGCCATTTTCCCGAGTAATAAAGTTCAATCAAAACAATAAAAATGGGTATTAAATCATTGTGTATGTAAATGCTAAAGAGCTGTCTTCTAATATATAAATTAAAGTTGAATAAAAACTTAACTAGATTTTTTCAAAACAAAATAATAAAATCGGCTACGAGTACAATTTTTTTTTTAAAAAATGAAATATTCAAAATTTGTAAAATCTCATTTCATAAACAAATTAAAATCAACATATTTCATTGTTCGATTGATTACTTGCTAAAGCATGGTAATGCACGTTGTCAGGTTCATATTTTTTTAGTAATTCAGATTTTCTGACTTCGTTGGATATAGCTTAGACCCATGAACTCATCGTAGACGTTTGATCTGAAGAGATAGATTGAGTCAATCTAGATTGGAAACTCAACACCAAACTGCACAATTCTGCGCACAAAGAGTCCAAACTGAAACTTATATTAGGTAGTGAACTTACCTTTAACTACTTTGGAATAAATAAAGATTTGTTGAATCAAAGTGAAAGTTGTGGAAAACAACAGAAGAAGAAGGATAAAAACTAAACCAAGAATACCTATCACTATTAATTAGGTAGTTTTTCCAAGTTAAAAGGGGGAAAAATAACAACCAAGTGAAGTAGTAGCATTTTGATGAGTTCTAAAGGATTGTTTGGTCAATTGTCAACAACAGTCTGTTTCCAACATAGCAAAATAAAGGAAACTTACTACTAGCCTGCCTTGAAAGACTGATATGTTACCAAAATATAGAGTGCAGATTTTGTCGCATTCTCCCACCCAAGAAGGTGCATCTCACAAGAAACAGTAAATTCTCATGTAACTACTACTACTCCTCATAGTAATACTCATCGTACACTCCAATCACTACTGACAATTTCTTCTGTCAAACCCCTTAGCTTTAGCCTCTAATCCAAAAAAGAAGATACCCTTTAATGACAACTTCTCATTTTTCCATCTTTCTTGAGAGTTGAGAGCTCTCATGGGTTTAATTTGAGTTCTGCATATGTTGCGCCATAACTTTTACATGATTGATCGATTGATGTCTATAATGTTAAGGGCATCTCTAATTCAGAAGAAAATAGTTGATAACTCATATCACGGGAGGAAACTTTGCGCAGAGTTCTATTACTATTAATGGGTGGCTCTGCGATTTCTTATGGGCACAGGCATCTCAGGTAATTCAGTCTTATGGTTCTTCATTATCTGCATATGGTGCAGATCAGAGTGAGATAAGGTGCAAATCAGAGTGAATAGATACTCCTCACCTAGTCGTAAAAAGAAAAATTATGAAGTGAAATATGGTGTGTATGATATCAAAATTAGATTATTGCATAGAATATGAATTGTCTGCCTAGCTATATACTAGCTAGCTTGCCCAAAATGAAGAAATAAAAATGTTTAGGCTTCACTCTCCTTAGAAGAAAAGCTGGAATTGAAGCAAGAATACGTGTAAAGGGGACAAGAACAGACCAAAGGCTGTGGGGGATTCAAATTAAGCTGAGAGTATATGCAAGTCCACATCCAGTACATTTCCCATTTCTTCTTTATTGTAAAAAGTGATTTTGAAAATTTATTGGCAAGACTTTGTGTCAAAATGCAAAAGATTTGATGCGCCAAAAAGAAGCTTTAGAAAATTTTGTAGATTGTGTAAAGTTATTGGAGGGGCAGTGGGGGGGATAAAGGCATAAAGCCCAAAGGTACATCGAAGGTAACAAAAGTTTGCTTATGTTTTTCAAACCTAAATATGCAAAACAAATGTATTTGGTACTATGATGGAGGCTGTCTAAGTCACACCTATAAAGATACACAATTCAAAAAATCAAACTTTATTATATTAATGTATAATTGTAATTATTATATTGTTATATATACGTTGCAGTTGAAATTTGGGTCTTATTTTCACTCGTAGACTTATAATGATAAGACTTGGGATAAACAACAACTATGGACATTGGTAGGTAATTTGAAAAAGTTTGTCTTCTCTTTATGTGGCAAAGGATTTCATGCTTGAAGAAGGGTTTAAAAATATATTTATCTAGCTACCAGCACATATAATAATACTAATTAAGTAGCAAGCATGAGATTTCTTTTTTCTTTGATGAACATAAGACTCCACTCAAAATTGGTAGGAGGGAATCAATTTTACGACATTAAAAAATTTTAAATCTATTAACCAAGTTGGTTATGTAATTATTAATTTGGTAATAATAATGTTACAAATTTAACTTCTAGAAGGAGTGGTCTATTAATCTTTTTTATTTACGCCAATCAGCTATAGATAATTTTATCTCATTGTGACCATTTGAAAAAATGACATTTAGTGAAAAATATATTGATCCGCATTCATATTGATAATATTAGGTGCAACTACTATACATTTATGTCTTAGTATTTATCCTATTATTATGTGGTAATATATAGTCCAATTAGTTCTTTTTATATATTTAATTAATAAGTAGATTCCTTTTCTAATGTGGAATAAGGTTGGGACAATTCACATGTAGTGTAAACACAAAGATTTTTATTGCCATGTTAGAATATAAAAATTAGGAGGTAAAATTATAAAGAAAAGAATAATATTTTTTTCTATATAGTTGTACCAAGTACCATTGATATTAGTGCTAATAGTATTCAGTACAATGATGCAATTAAATGTGATGTTTTCACCCAATAAAAAATTAAATGTGATATAAATAATTGTACCATATATTATCGGAATTATAGAAAATCTTTAAAATTATAACATGTCATATTAAGTGCAAAGTGAATATTCTAATCATTTAAAATGAAAAATCAATTCATTTAAAAATAAATATGCTATATATATATATATATATGTGTGTGTGTGTGTGTGTGTGTGTGTGTGTGTGTGTGCTAATAGTCATAAATTGCACGGTTTGAATTTACAACAGACTAAAAAAGAGATAAATTTGGCCTTGTTATGACTTTAATATACAAGTATTAGTAAGTCAGTTGATGCACATTTTGCAACTTACCTCTTCCATCCGTTACCGAGATAGAAACGGTGAGAATCATTTAAATTTGGGATTCAAAAATATAAATCTTTAGTCTTCACGATAATTAAATTTAGACAATAGGTGATGATTCGCCTTGCATAAGATGGAAAACATGCTTGTACGATTTAAATCAAGAAATTTGATTGATGTGTTGGTTCTTAGAATCTTGTTAGAACCAACATATCTTCTCTACCTAAATCAAACATGTTGTACGTATATATTCCCAATTCAGCAAATTAAGTCGAAGTTTATATTTTTTCTTTTTCTAAAACTATATACTTCCTTCATCTTATTTTATGTATTCATTTTTGTTAACGTATTTTAATGAAAGTTATTTACAATTCAAAATTTTTAATAATATTTAATTTATTGCTAGTGCATTAAAATTATATATTTGAAAACTATATTTAATTACTATTGATGAACACAAAAATTCAAATGTAAAAATTATAAAAAGAAAATAACCAAAAACAAAAAATAATAATAATAAATTTGAAATACTCATGATGGTTTACAAGGTAGTATCTGCCAGTGGAATTCGATCTTGTGAC